TCCCTACGTGAGGATGTCCTGTGGCAGTGGGAAGTGGACAGTGACAGTGTGCAGGGTCTCATTGGTGAGGGCCCTGCCAGCTGGAAGCCCCAGCAGTGGCCATGTCCAGGAAAAGGCACCCTGGAGCTGTGGGAGCAGCCTAAGGAGCTGCTTCCTGCTGCTCCCTTTGGCCTTGGCCATGGGGAAAGACTTGGCTTCCCCTCCTGGGAACACTCTGGCTATGAGTGGGGAGGTGGACAGCTCCTGACCTCCCTCCAGGGCATACTATGCCCCCCAGAATCCCCCTTCTGGCACCCCTGGGTGCCTGCTGGGTGCAGGCACTGACCTGCTGCTCCCGGAGCTGCTGCCTGCTGCGCTCCCGGCTTTCCTCCAGCTGCTGCTCCAGCTTGGCCTTGTCTTCCTCAGCCTCTTCCAGCCTGTCCTGCAGCTCCTCACGCTCCTGGTCCAGGCTATTGAGCTGCTGCAGCAGGGCCCTCTGCTTGGCCTGCAGGGACTGCATGGGGCAGGTGTGGGGCTCTGCTCCCCACCACCCTCCAGCCCCACCCACCACTCCCACCCCACACAGAGTGACTATACCTCCTGATGCCTCAGCACGCTCTTCATCTTGGCCTTCTCCTTGTCCAGCTGGGTGGTGGTGGCACTCAGCTCCTCACCCATGCTCTTCTGCTGGCCGGTGAGCAGCTGCACCTTCTCCTCCAGCTCCAGCATCTGGTTCTTTGCCACCATCCTGGTCCTCATCTCCTCCAGCAAGGTCATCTTGGTCGCCTCTGGGGAGACACAGCACCTTTGGGGCAGGCTTGGCAGGTGGGGGAGATGTTTGGAAGGGCCCCAGACCCTCCCCAGGCCCTGGTAAGAGAGCTGTGATCCCCTGAACCCCCAACAGCACCAGCCGACTCTGGTGCTGGGTGACTGAATATGAGCCAGCTTGTGCCCAGGTGGCTAAGAAGGGCACCAGCATCCTGGCTTGAATCAGGAGATCTGTGTTTGCCAAACCCCTGTGAGGTAGGGCGAGGCTGGGTGAGCCCCAGGGCACCTTACCCAGCTCCTGCACAGCTCCTCGCTTTGCAGCCAGCTCCTCTGTTAAGGCAGAGAGTCGTTCTTCCAGCAGAGCAGCTCCTGAATGGGAACAAAACCTGCTGCTGAAACCTCAAAACAGGAGGCACCAAAACACTTCTCCTCCAGTGGTGGTGTCATGCTGGGAGCCAGGCTTCTCCTGCACGCACCCCAGGGCTGGCAGGGGGTGCTGGGAGCAGCACCCTACCTCTCCGCAGGTCGTCCTTGTCCCTCTCCAGCCTGGCTATGGCCTCTAAACACTCCTTGTTCTTGGCTTCCAGGCGCTGCTCAGCCTCCTCCTTCTGCTGTGCTTGGGTCTCCTTCTCCACCTGAAGCAACTGGGAAAAGTCCTCAACCTGTTTCCGCAGCTCCTCCTTCTGCTCCTCCGACTCTTCCAGCTGAGCCTTCAGAGGGTTGACCTGCTGCAGCAGCATCTGGAGGTATTTACTGATCCGGGAGAGGTCTTTGCTCTGCTCTGAGGCCCAGTAGCTCATGTCCGTGGCAGAGAGGGTCCTTCTCCCCATGCTTTCCTTCACCGACTCCTGGAACTTGCTGAGAGCCGAGGGGATGTTCTGGCTCTGGCAGATGCTGGTGATGGCTCTGCCCACCTCACGTAGGCTGGCCTGGGCACTGCTGCAGCTGTCACAGGGTCCCTGAGACCACCCAGCTGTCTGTGTGGCAACACTGGAGCTGTTCTTGGCCATGTTGCAGGCAGCCCCGGGCAGGGAGGGGACACTGGAGCTGCTCTTGGGTGTGCTGCAGGCAGCCCTGGGCAGGTTGGTGCCTGAGGTGTCACTGTCTGGTGCAGGGACACTGGATGATGGGTGCCAAGAAGCAGACTGGGCAACTTCTGTGGAAGTTCTTGACTTCGATGGATTGGGCAAGCAGCATTTCTGGAGCTTCTCAGGTTTCCCAGCCTGGGGATCAGATGGCAGCAGAGGGATCTCCATCCCACAAGTCTTCTTCTGGTGGAGAGAGCACATAACAGAACCAAGGCCTAGACCAATCCCTTCCCTCTCCTTGCTGCAGTGTATGGGGGAACTGAACTGGAACCAGCTGCCAGACAGCTGCCCAGCCAGCAGGACTGTGGTTTCACAATGGGAAACCTGCTCCCCAGCTCCCCTTCTTCCTGCTTCTGCCAGTTGAATTATTGTGGGACTTTTCCATGAGAAGGATCATTTTGGGGAAAAAATCTACAAGGCAGGGGCGGGGCACATAGGTTTTGCCACAAATGATTTCACTGATCTGAGCCAGCTCAGTCCCACCAGCAACAGGGTCAGCAGAGCTGCAGGAGGGAACATGTTGGCATGAGGAGGATAATTTTTGGAGCAATGGGGGCAGCCAGGCTCACTCATCCTGAGGTGTAGTGAGAGGCTGGATCCAGCAGCACAACTGGGAGTGGTGGTTAGAGGTGGGACTTGGGCCAGGAAGGGACAGTGTGGGACAGATGTGTCCTGTCTGGCACACAGCTCCACTGGGAGGGCCATAAGCACATCTGGCACCGTCACTGCGCGTGTCACGGGGCATCCCAGAGAAGGGTGATGACCAAACCATGGGGAGTGAGGCAGGGGCTGCTTCTGTGACCCCTGCCCTCAACTGATGGGGTGTCAGGGCCCCAGATGTCCCACCTGGTTCAGGAGCTGATGGTAGAGGGCCCCCAGTCTCAGCAGGCTGGCCCAGGCCCTCCTGGCCGTCAGCCCCACAGACATCCAGGGTCCCACAGCCCGCGGTGGGGGCACAGCTTGCTGGCTCAGCAGGTTTTCTGCATAGCCTGTGAAGCTCTGCAGCAGCAGCAGCAGCCTGTTCCAACAGGAAAAACCACAGCTTAGAGCAACAGAGTTTTTGCCATGGGGAAAGGGCCCATGACATTTAATTAAAGACAGGAGCTGAGGCAAGGAAGGTTGTCCGCTCTCCCCATCCCCTGGTCACAGCAATTTTGGCAGAGAGGGTGGATATCAGTACTCCTGTGATGCCCCGCCTAGGGCTGGGTCACTCCATGGGGCAGGATTTGGTGGGATGCATCCTGCAGCTCTGGGATGCAGGGTGAGCATGCTGCTTGCACCAGCCCCTTCCCCGAGGCTGCCATGAAGCTCTCCCAAAAGCTTTGGGGCAGCCACGCTGCTGATACCAAACCCCAAGTGTTGGGCCACCAGCTCCCTAGGAAGGGCTCATTTTTTAAACATAGTTGTCTTTATTTCACCCAGATTGCAAAAGGTGCTTTTTCCTCCCAGGCCTGCAGATGAAGCTGTGTCCAAGTGTTTCCAAGGCTTCAGGGGGACAACTGAAGGAGCCTGCCCCCCTCTGCCCAGGTGCCCTTGGCTCCTGGGCAGGGCAGGGGCTTGCTCTGCTCCTCTGTGGCCAGTGTTTGTGCTGGTAGCTCTGAGCTCTGTTGGAATTGGGTTTTAAAACTCAGCATAGAGCTGCAGGGCATGAGGCTGAGGTGCTGGCACAATGCTCATCATGGAAATGGGTGGGAAAACCATGTCCAAACTACCTGGCTGCATGGGACAGGCTGTACGCACAACCATCCTCTTCTCTCCGGGGGAAGGAGCCACCCTGCCAGCCGTTTTGGGGTGTTTGGGGCTGACTTTGCCTCCTCACCTGTCGGTCATCAGCTCCAGCAGCACCACGTGGGAGTGCTGGGTGAATTCGGGGTCGTTCTCGGTGTGTCGGTACTGCTCCAGCAGCACTGCCAGGTCCAGCTCACAGGACACTTTATCAGGGAACTTCCAGGAGGGAAAACGCACGGCTCCAGCCCGTGAGGAGACGTCGGTGATGGCGGCCTGCAGGTCCCTCAGGTCGGCCTGCAGGCTCTCCATGCAGCCGGGGTGGCCCAGGAGGTGCGCCATGCGGCTGAGGGGCCGCGGGCTGGCACAGGGCCCGGACGGGGTCACAAG